CTTTCATTTGTCTCCCACTTCTTTCATTTGTCTCCCAGTTCTTTTCATTTGTCTCCCACTTCTTTTCATTCCCCAAACAGTTTACTGTTAGGGGTTCTCAATGCTTTAAAGAATGGTCGCCTTGGTGCTGGATGGTCTGGTCGGGTTCCCAGCCGGCTTGTCTCCCACTTCCTTTGTCTCCCAGTTCTTTTCAGTCGGGGTTCCCGGCTGGCTTGTCTCCCACTTCCTTTCATTTGCCTCCCAATTCTTTTCATTTGTCTCCCAGGCCACTTCCTTTCATGTGTCTCCCACTTCTTTTCATTGTCTCCCAGGCTGGGTGCTTGTGGTCGGGTTCCGGGCCGGCTTGTCTCCCACTTCCTTTCATTTGTCTCCCACTTCTTTTCATTTGTCTCCCAGGCTGGGTGCTTGTGGCCGGGTTTCCGGCCAGCTTGTCTCCCACTTCCTTTCATTTGTCTCCCACTTCTTTTCTGCTTGTGGTCGGGTTCCCGGCCGGCTTGTCTCCCACTTCTTCTTATTTGTCTCCCACTTCTTTTCATTTGTCACCAACTTCTTTTCATTTGTCTCCCAGGCTGGGTGCTTGTGGTCGGGTTCCCGCCCTACACTTGCTTTCATTTGTCTCCCGGTTCTTTTCATTTATCTCCCAGAAATGCTTCATTTGTCTCCCGGGTCCGTCACTGCTGGTGCCATGTAGCATTTCTATTCATTTGTCTTTGTCACTGCTAATTTCCGCCCTTTTCCGTTGGCCACGCAGCATTTCTATTCATTTGTCCCCCAGGCTTGTCACTGGTGGTGTCCGCCCTTTTCCGCTGTTTCTATTCATTTGTCTCCCAGGTCTGTCACTGTTGGTGTCCGCCCTTTTCCGTTGGCCATGTAGCATTTCTATTCATTTGTCTCCCAGGTCTGTCACTGCCAGTGTTTTGTCTCCCAGGTCTGTCACTGTTGGTATCCGCCCTTTTCCGCTGGGCATGCAGCATTTCTATTAATTTGTTTCCCGGGTCTGTCACTGGTGCTGCCGCCCTTTTCCGCTGGCCATGTAGCATTTCTATTCATTTGTCTCCCATGTGATTTCTTTCTTTTTGTCTTTCAGGTTTGGTGCCTGCACTGCTGTTTTCTGCCCTGTCCGCTGGAACAGGTTCGCCTGTGAAAGGTTCTTGCTCCTTTGCAAGGGGTGCGTGACTGTCTCCGGGATTGCATTCCTGCCGCAGTGTGTAACTCTCTCAGCTTTGTTTTCCTTCTCTGGCAACCGTTGGATGAATGACCGGATTGGATTTCGGCGGTGTGGCAGCGATCTCTCTATTCAGTTGGGGCGGAGGGCATATGTCAGGCGCCAAAAATCAATTTCATGTCACATCCTTCGCTCCTCATGCTTTTGTTTCTTGTCCTCACGTGGTCAGCTCCCCGCTGACTGAGCAGCATGACCAGCATCATGTTCGCGCTTGAAGAATAATTCCCCAAAAGGTTTACTGTTAGGGCTTCTCACTTCTTTCTTAAGATGTGTCCCCCCGCTCTGTACTGCTGTGTCCGTCTCTGCCTTGCAATCCTTTACATTTATCTCCCAGCTCTGGACGTCGCAAGCTCTAGTTTCGATTTTGAAAACACAAACTGTTTGGGGTCTACGGTGGTGTAATCTCATAGAGCGCTCATTCTGTGCAATCCTTGGGGTGGGCAGAATCCAGTGGCAAGGTCCGGGTGAGGCCAGAAGGACAAGGCCAAATATATGTACCTGTCCTCAACGTCGCTTATGCTGAGAAGAGAGCGGACAACCTTCAGGAAGGCACCAGTTTACCAGGAAGCTTTGCAGCCGAGTACTCCATGGATGCGTCTGGTTATTGGACAGCGGTGATTGTCTTCTTTGTGCTGCTGCTTCTCTTCATGTTGGCCCTAATGATCACCAGACTTTGCCTGTTGGGGTCCAGGTATCCCAATGTCTTGGTGCACCCAGATCCCCACTTGTTTGCACCGCGGATGGTGCTACAACTCTTGCTTGTTTTCTCCACTTGCTGCTCTACACTCTTCTGGTTTCACTACGCCATGACTCTGTTTTGGCTTATCATGTTCAAAAGCCAGAATGTGCCACTCTTGCTACTGCCTACAGCCTTGGGGGTGGGACAATATGAAGCTCATGATGTCATGCTGGTCATGGTCTTTTCCTTGGCAGCTCAGCCAACATGCATTAACAATCTTTGGTGAGCAGTGAGTAGTCTTCCTTTCTTTGCTTTGTGATATAAGTATAATTGTCCGGCCCATATATCCGAAACACAGTCTTGAAGCTAACACAAGGCAATCTTGACCGTGAGCATGGGTCTTTGGAAGCAACTGCGCATCTTCTTCTTCCTCGTTGATTGGGAGAAGCCCCGTGATGTGAAATCTCCAGAACTGCCACCTCTGCTTGGTCCCAATCCACCACCACCAGGGCCAGGTCAACCAGGTCCACCAACCTTGGTGGGATCACCTCTTTTGGGCTATGGTGGCACTCAGCTCCCCCAAGCTCCACAAGCCCCTCCACAGGCTCCAGGCTTCGTGGAATCGGTCCCAGTGCCGGACTCGGGGATCTCGGCCTGGCGGAGTTTGTTCGTGTGCAACGAGCTCAATGAAAGGCTCACCGCGACCCGAGCGGTGCCAGAGATCACTTGGCTTGCCATCCTGGCCTTGTTGGATGGATGTCAATGGTCCAATGCAGCCAGGTGGACAACACATGCCGATGGCCAATCGGCGATGGCGGCCGAGTTTAATCCCTTTCTGCAATTCTCACTGGGGATCAGTGTTTGGATTTTTGTGCTGGTGTTGCAGTTTCTGTTGCAGCGCATTGGGTGCATTTTTCTGGGGCACGATTTGAATGACTTCATGGATGTGTGTTCCATTGCAAATATATCCGTATTTATTTTGGATGAGACTTGGCTGATCCCCACCAGTCCCGATCGAAATGTGGTTCGTTGTGGCAAGGGGTTTGACGTATTCATGACATACCATGCTATTTTGATTGTCCATGTCCTTCATACATAAAGTTTTAGACTTTTTGATGCATTTTAAAGACATCTTTTGACTCTTAGCCCTTTTAGTCCGTCTATCCTGTCAGCCTGTGGTTCGGCAGATCATTGTCCTTTTCGTTTTGGATTATGATTTCATGTCCACTCCGCATCACTCCGCACTGAGGAGCCTTTTCATGGATACTACATCCATGGCAAGGCACCTAGTAGCCGTGGAGACTGGGGCCACACCGAGTAGCTCGACCAGCAATGCTGAAAGATACCTGAACATGTCCGAAGCCACGCAGGTGTATGATGGTGTATGTAGCCATTGGTCATTGGTGTCACTTGTGCTAAGATGTGCGGAGTAACATTCAACTGGCTCCATGAGTGGCTGGATGTCGGGCCAGGCTTGAGCGGGTGCTGCATGACGAGGATAAAGGAATTGGCTTCAGTAGGGGCTTGAGCCCAGATGGATGTCAGACCTTTGAGATGTTCCTTCCTCCAGATACAGCTGTCCAGCTGGCCAATGGTGACATAGATGCACAAAAGCCGGACAACATAGTTTCGGATGACTGCAGCAGTAGCATGAACATGTTATTCGGAAAGACTCAAGCTTGATTGTGTGAATGAAGTAGAATGACCGCATGCAACTTTGGCCCCTAACTTCGTACATGGTCCATTCCTTCAGACACTTAGAATCATAGGCATTGTGTTTGGCAAGCAGGGGTTGCTGGGCTGGGTGTTTGTTGATTGCAATTCCACCTCCTCAGGTGATGTGGCACACTTCCGCCAGCAGCTTGGTCAAGTCTTCATGGATGTACAAATGACACAGGCCGGCATTAGACAAGGTTCAACAGCGTGCATCACGACCGGACTTGTTTTTCTTGCACCAATTGCTTTGCCCCAGAAAGCACACATGGAAAGCCACTTGCAAAATGATGCCAAATGATTCATTATGTTGCAGGTAAGACCGCGAAAAAGACCGGATGATTTGTAAAACCATATAAGTAAGGGCATATGCATTTACAAGGATTTACAGACACAGCTGTATACGGTACCTGTGTGCTATGTCAATGCGTTTTTTCCTTCGCACTCGCACTGACTTTGACGTCAGGACACCATCGCCCGGCGCGATCCACCAAAGCCCATCAGCCAAGATGTGGCGCAGATGTCACAGCACAGGTGCAATGTCCAGGCCTTGGTGGATGCAATGGTGAACGCCGTGATGAGAGGCACAGGGTCTTGCCCAGAAGTTTGTTCCAAGTGGGGTCAGAAGTCTTGAGTGAGAATCAGAGAGTTGTGGATTTTCAGGATTTGGACCTTCACGGTCGCAGTGAGCTGAGGCGCCAACGAAGTGCTGCAGATGCGGAGCTCCTTCAGCTGGTTTTGGGGTACTGCGCCCAACGTGCTCACCTTGCAGCACCCGATCTTCTACAAGGCCATGCGAAAGGTCACCTCTAGCGAGGTACTTGTAGAAGAAAGAGGTGCTGGAGGTAGTTTCTGGAGGTGTAGGCCGTGCGAAATGTCATTTGGAGGTGATGTGTTTTGGCTGGTGCATGCCGGTGCAATGTTTACGAGTAGCTGGTCCGCTCAGATAGAAGGGCTACTCGGTTGGGTGTGCGCCAGGATCAAGATGGCATCTCTTTCCCCAATGGGCTTGGATGGTCCTCTTCCTTGGCTTACGGGGCCGAGTTGCGCATTGCTGGCATTGGTGCCTCGACTGCAGTTGCAGAAATCCAAGTTGCCAGGATTGATCCGGTTGATCTCGTTTTCTTTTTATTAATCTTCTTTTGAATTACTTATATAATGGCAATGGCCTCCAACCAATTAGGGTCTCCAACCTTCTAGCGTGTGTTTTCTTTCGATACTTTGATCAAACCACCAACATCCACCAACCATGGCAACAGTTTCTCTTCGGTCCTTCCAAGTTGCGGAGTTTGGGAGCATGTGAGTTTCTCCAAGGTATTCCACTTGGCTTTGAATGGCACTTGGGACTTTTGGAGCTCATGACCTTCTCGCTCATGTGGCGCTTTCAAGGCTCAATTGGCTTGGCCTGTGCCTTAGCCTACTTGGTGAATCGCTCCGTACTCTATGTCTATGGTGCTTGGGGAAAGGCACGCTTGGCACATACGGCCATCATCAACGGCATGTTCTTAATTTGAAGGCCACAAGAGCCACATGCAACATATGCAATGCGGACTCGTTGGGGCTGCGTGAATGGGAATCGGCCTTGTACAGCACGCCATGTGGTACGACAAGTGGCTACAGATGTGTAGCGATTTGCTGTGCTGCTGTGAGCATCTCGGGCAAAAACCTGTTACTGTTGGGCTGCAAATTTGACCTGAGATCAATCACTCTGACTAACAACAGTGCCGTAGCTAAGTTAGTGTATGACTGCGTGCTTGATGCCGGAGTCTCTTTGTCCAGGCGGTGAAGATGGTTGTGAAGGATGCCACAATGGACCTGCATGGCTCTATGCAACAGCAGGACCTGCCTACTTTGAGTAGAACCGTCGTTTCACCAAAGACGATTGCATCTCCCGGTGTCTTGCCATAGGAAGGTGCGCTGAAGTCACAGCAGCCGGCGCCTCAATCGTGCCTTTGTGCTGCGTTTTGTTTGTGCACTGTATGTGCCCAGGCGGATGTTTGAGGTGGAACTGCAAAAGATGCAGGAGAAGATGGACAACATGCGGCAGGATATGGGAAAGCTTCTTGAAGGAGAATTGGCCTAGGCTGAGTCCCCATCCTAATTTGGCTTTGAGTCACTGAGTCACTGTAAGTTGAAGTGGATCGAATGTGGAATATGTATCTATCTGCCATTGCGGCAATGTTTCATGGCAGGCTGCATGCACTCTATTCTCACATATTGAAATTTACCACAAGGTTGCAGACGAGCCCGCCGGAAGTCATTGCAGGGATTCTCAGAGGATAGAGCCAGCAGTTGCGGTTTTTTGCTTTTTCGATCTTCCATGAGACGTACCCTCCTTCATCACATATAATCAAACTGCCGGCTTTGCATTCTGGAATGCCATTCTGAGTTCAAACCCATCTACTTTTGTGATCTTTTGTGTCACCTTTCGCGGCTGTGGCCATGGGGCGATTGCAACGCAATTGCCACTGCTTTAGGAGCTACCCTATCTTGCACGTGCCGTGCTCGTCTCTCAGGCCCGGCTGTTGCTTTGACCCCGGCAGAGGTGTGTGATGGAGGACCTACTGCTCGCCGCTTTTCCTTGGCTGTCACCACATTTCACGCGGACAGCTGGAGCCACGAATCCCAACTCCCAGTCAGTGGGTGCTGTGCATCACAGCCGCTATCGGGTATTGATGGCCATGAATTGCATCGTGTGCGCTGTTTCCGGGCCGCACAGAGCTGACTAGATTCATACTTCGCTTACAGAAGAACAAGTAGAAGAACTGTCTTTGGCGTTCTGGATTCGTCTGGTTTCAGAACAACCAAAAGACTTTGTGGGAGTTCTGTGTTCGGTTCATGGTTGAGTTCTAGGACACGTGATTTCCGGGTGAAAATAGACCCAAGCGATTTTCAGCGTCCATGGCTGTTGTGCAATCACCCGGGCGAAAAGCAAATAGCTCCCTCAATATGCTGAAAGAGGAACCTGCAGGCAAAAAATTGCCAAAAAAACACTGGCTCGGAAGACCAGGTGCTCAATTGTTTGCTTCTGACGCTTTCGGGCAGTTTCGTCGTTTGTGCTGGAGAGCTTTGTGGGCAGTGGCTATGCCATGTACAAGTTGCTTTGTGCTCCTGTGCGCTTGCCGCTAATGGCCTCATGTCATTCCAACTATGAGGCTGATTGTTGCAACATGGTGTGGGTAGGCTGACCACTTAGATCTACTTCGGGCAACTTCCCACACACTAGTAGGCTCGGAACAGCGCAAGCATGGGCCACCTCGTCACCTTGGAAACTCGTCACCTTTGGCCGGCCTAAACTCAGCCCTCCCCAAGGATTTGTCCTATGGTTCCTGGCTGTACTATTCGTGGATGAGGTACCATGGCCGAGCTTGCGGCGAGATGTCTCCTAGGTATGACATCCACAACTGGATTGATTCGATTACCGTCTTGCTGGGTCACTGGCATTGGTTTGGCCACTAGTCCTGGTGATGCGCAACTCAGTCCTGGCAACCTTCCTCAACGCAGTGCGGCCGGCAAGCTCAACCACCCAGGTCGCAGAGGTGGTTGGAGCGCAGTTTGGGAATGAAGCCTGATGGCCGATGGCCTAATGACGAGATTCTGAGAGGCTAAGGAGAGGCTAAGCTTGATGAGAGATGCTACATGATGCTATGTAGAAATGCCTGGATGAATGTAGCTGGCTTGAAGCGTGCTTTACTCGAGGATCTCGGAGCTCCTTAGGACACAACATAACTTTGCGGTCTCGGCATGTTTCAGATGTGAGTCCCAAGCTGAAGGCTTCATGATAATCATGCCGTACCACGGGCTCGGTGCTGCAAGACACAGAGATGACATCGACGATGTCTCATTGTACTCTGAGCCTAATAAGCCAATATCCTGCCATATCCTGCCGCTGCCCTCTCCCCTGACAACCTTATGCGACTCTGTTCGCGAGCTGGCTGGCGAACAAATTGATGGACTGGAGATTACAGTAAACAGTAAACCAATCTTTGCTAGCATGCATAGTGAGATAAAGCAGCGGTTGAATGCATGTGGAACCAATGCAACAACACCTTTGTCCAGGTCTCGCCCCGTGACGAAGGCGTGTCGGACAAGTTGTGTGGGGTGGAAATTGGAGAATACATGAGAAATTGGAGAAGTCCCGCCCTATTGTCTCTATCCGTGTCCTGTTCCAGGACCTTCCGTCGACCTCAGTGGTTTGGAAAAGCACATGGAGAAGAGCATGATGACCTTGAGGAACGACCTGGATGATAGGAGCCTTGGCAGCAGCAACATATCATAACATATCTATATACATTACACATATTATATAGTATACGTATATAGTTTATATACATATGACTGTGACTGTATATAACTGTTTCTATGCTTCTACTTGGTTGATGTGTCACTCATTGGCTGAAGACCTCTTGCTTGAAGAGAGGGCTGTTTGGATGAGGATGTCGAAGATGTTCGATGAGAACCGGCCCTTTCCCTAGCTGAATTGGCGGTTTTTATGTTCACAGTGTTTGTCAAGGGAGTTCAACCGATTTGTTTTGTTCTTCTTTAAGCCCGCGTTCGCTGCTACTGCTGCTGCCTCTCAAGCTACTTTTTGCTGGGGTTGCTTCGAACTAGAAAGCCCTTGATGGCGTAGGATGTGTTTCTTGCTTTTGCAAGAGAGACGCTAATGCACCCTCCTAGAAAAGTAGATCCAACTTTACTTAAAGACGTTTGCAGTTCCACATGGATGGACGCTGCAGAATGGATTCTAGCGTCAATCAGTCAATAGCGTAGAACCTGTCTGATTAAGTCAACAGATGTTAGACAGGTCCAGGTGGAAAAGTGCGTTTGCTTCGTTTGGGGAGGCTTTTGACCCCAGCCTAGCCAGTGGTTTTGGACTCTAGTTCTTTGCAGTTTCTGAGTCTGCAGCTCAAAGCTTCTACAGTTGACAGCTGGAGTTTGGGCCAATTGGGGGAAGATGCTTCAATGTTGTGAGTTCAAAGGTGTTCAAAGTTGCCATATTTGGAAGTACGCACTCTTGCCCCCGAAAGCAAGAGTTGGCAGTTGATGAACCTGGGGGTTCGATACAGGCAGCAACTGAATGAGCTGGCGAAGGCTGCAGCCTCCAAGCCACCAGAGAAGGCCACCAAAGCGGTTCGAATTGGAGAGGGCTTTTTGCCGTGCATCTGCATCTGTATATAGCTTACGCATCTGTGCAATTGGGCATCCATCCAACATAGTGACGTATGACACAAAGACGGAAGTGCGATATTGCTGACATGGTCCACTCACCGGATCTGAGACGCAGATATGCCTTCGATACCAAAACAGAACATGCCTCTCAGATGACTTTGCTTCGATACAAGGCAGTCTTATGCCTGGAACATATAGTTAGACAGGCAGAGACACTTGCAAAGGATACTAAAGGTACAAACGTTGACATGTTCCTAGAAGCAAGAGCATGCTCGCACGCGCGACATGCACTGCAGGACAGCGACGATGCCCGGGAGTTTGCCGGAGCAGTGGAAAGGCAAATCCAGCAATTGCGGCAGCAATTGAGTGTTTGGGACCCAGGCAGTTCAAGCTTTTGTATGGATCCTTTGTTAGCTATGACCATGAATGTTTAGTGAAGTATACCAAGCAGTGGAACACCACAGTCTCCTGGGTGCCTAGGATGTTCAAAAGCAGCTGGCCGAAGAGGCGAGATCCGTTTTCTGAAGGGCAGATGGCAGATTTTTGGATAGGTTTTACGGTGAAGAAAGCCGCGACGAGTAGCCCTTCAGCAGGTGAATGAGCACGTAAGGTCCAACAGGCCCACCAATAAATTGCTCCAGGCTTGAGCCAGTAAGAGGCAATATCCATGGTGGGGCAGGACCAGACACTTTTTGCTGAACAGAAAGGGAGTTCACCTCCTTAATGGAAAGATTAAAAGCTGGCTTTCTTCTTTTTTCAATCTTCAGCCCAAAGTCGAATTGCAGGTTAAAGCAGTGGTGGCCACTTCCAAAGAGACACCTGACAAGCCAGTTGCAGAACAGGCGCTCAGAATATGTTTCCCGCCACATCAACGTGATGTCAGTTCTATGAATTTGCACGCGGCAAGGAACGAATGAGGTGTGAAATTTGGTAGTGCCATATTTGCAGGGTGTATGGCAATCACCCCAGGGTTCTTCTCAGTCTGGCACAAGCATGAAAACTATTGAATATGATTCAGGAGCCTGCATAAGGTGTTGATCCGCGTGCACGAAAAGTATTGACGATCCAAATTAGCCCTACCAGGCTCCTGTGGCTCCAACTCCAGCACCGCAGCCGCAGCCTGCGCAGCCGGCCGTGCCGGTGACACCTGAAGCGCCACCTGTCCAGACGGAGCCCCTGGCGCCGAAGGAGCCCAAAGCACCACCGAAGGCGCCAGTGCAGGCCGAGAATGTGTGTGTATATACATACACACACAGATATATTATTTGTAATGCAGAATATATATATATATGTGCACACAGATACAAACATGTATATATATATATACATACACGTTTTTGACGTGATTTCGATTTCGATCAACATAGGAAAAGGGAAGGTAAGGTGACGTGAAGAGACGCACTGAAATCGTGATGAAGGCATTTCATGTTATGAAACGGCTCACTTCAGGTGGAAGACGCAGAAGAAGAGACTCCACCTCCGCGATTTCAACCGCCGCAGCCCATTGAGATTGATGAGGAACCTCAGGCCTGCAATTCACAGAGAGAGAGAGAGACATGGCTTTGAGTAGTGACTGCTGGTGGTGAGAGACATGGCTTTGAACCTGTGCCACGGGCCCCGTGGACTCCAGGTGCCCGCAGAGCTTGGCTTTGATTGGTCCAAAGTGCCTGGCCCCGCATCTCCCAGCTTCCAGAAAGCCTGGAAAGAGGGCATTGCCAAGTGCAGCAACTTGGACAAACAAATCCAAATGGCGAAACAGGGCCACACAGAATCACCGATTCCAGTAGTTGAACCCACGAACAATTTGGTGATAGATCTTCGGGTGTCCTGTTGTCGAAGACTCTAGTAGATTGAGGACCCAGCGGGGTTTGCCCTGGAAATTTTGGCTGCTTGAGGCGGATGCGAACGACAACACATGCATTGGTTATGCATTGGTTGCATCAGTTTTGTACGTCTGAGGCACCGACACCGAGAAACTGCTGTTCATGATCTCCATGACGGGTGAGCGGACGCGCCCACGCAAGCCCAAAGATGGCCTGCGGGAGTTGGATGTGACCTGGGGCGGCCAGTTGTCGCCCAAGGATGCCAAACGAGCCCAGGAGCCACGCTTGCCTGAGCCGAAGGACCGCGTTTTCACCGGAGGTCAACTGAGGTCTGATGTTACCTGATGTCACTTCTTTTGTTAAAGTGGGGCCTCGCTTTGGAAGATGTTGGCATCATTTTGCTGCCATTTCATGTCCACTCTGTTGCTTTTGCCTTTCTCGTAGAGAACATGAGCGTTTGGTCATCCTTTGTCCTGTCAAGGAGGAAGCGAAGGACGTGAAAGTGGAGCAGCCAGTGCCAAAAGCAAATGACCCAAAGAAGCCGGCAGAGAAGCGTGAAACCATCCTCACTAGGCGTGCTTTTGCCAGTGGCTTCACTGGCTTTCTGCAGCGATGTCGACCAGACTTGTTGGAAGCTCCCGAGAGTGTGGGCCAAGTCAGTCAACCCAAATCACTCAGCGCTTTGGTCGAGGCAGCCACAGCATCGCAAGCCCTTTCAACTCTTTCACCACCACTCCCTCCACCTCAGGGGCCGCCACAGTCGGGGCCAGCTGCCTCCAGTGTGGCATTTGCACCAGAGGCCAAGAAGCTTCTAGAGCCAAAGGCGATGCCACCTGACCCTGTGACGCAAGTGCTGCAACCAAAGACGTTTGCAGCGACATCTCTACCTCTTGGGGCGATCCCACCGAAGGCCACGCCAGCACCTGCGGTGCCTGCGGTTTCTGCGGTGCCGCCCGCCAAGCCGCCCATGGCTTCACCTCCGCCGGCGACACCGCCCGCAACCCCCTTGACTCCGGCGGCACCCGCTTCGCCACCGGCCCCGCTCAAAGCAGCGGCTTTGGCCAAGAGTCCCGAGCTGAAAGCTTAGTCAACTGGGTGGGATGAGTGACAAGATTTTCGGTGAAATTGGATGCAAAGTGAACAAAACCATCAACACACATGTCTCTCAGGTTAGCTTCACCATTGAGCACGCCTCAATCCTTGAGTCCCACACCACTGCCCTCACTGAGCTCGACTCCTTTGAAGATGGCACCACCAGCGCCCCCGCCTGCGCCCAGTGTGCCGCCGCCAAAGGCACCAAAGGCACCACTTGGCGCACCACCAGGGGCACCGCCTGGTGTGCCTGGCGCGCCGGTAATGCCACCGACACCAGAGAAGCTCGAGAGGCACCTGTGCTAGCCGACACTGTGTTGACTGATGGTAATTAATGGAAGTGCTCATCCAAAACCAAAAGCATTTGATGTCAGGCGACAGTTTCAACTGCTTTTGCATGACCTGCTTGCAAGACATGCTTCCCCGCTATATGTATTTTAGTATGTATATGCGCACACTGTGAACCAGCAAGCTGCTTCTAGTTCAACTCACACGTTTGTGTGGCAGATGTCCATTGCCCACTAAACTTGCTGAGAGGCCTGTAGCCAAGTGACAGCCTCAGCGCATCAATTGTTTTTGTGATTTTGAGACTTGCCTTAACCAATGCAGCCGGACATTGTGCTACTGTGAGAGCAGGCATCCAGGCATCTTGCCCATTGCTTTTTAGAACCTCTTTGGAAGCTTTAGAACCTCAAACTGTGTGCAAACGAACACAAGTCAATAGCAGTTGGACTGACTTCGGACTGAGTTGAGAAGCGTTGGGGAGGTGAAGAGCTTTGCAGCCGTTTTGATCAAAGCCCGAAAGCCCTCACAGTTCTCGCAGATCGGCAGAAATGGCACCTCCAGGGGCTAAGAAGCGAGTCTTGCTCATCGGCGACTGGGTCTTCAATGAGATCAAGGGCGGAAAGAGGGCGGGCTTAACGGCTTAACATTGGTTATCAAGTAGTGTCATTGAGCATGAGTCAAGCCTTCATGGCACCGGAGATTTGAAGCTAAGTGACCTTAGTGACCTTTGTTGTCAGCAATCTGGGGCACAGATCGGTTGGGCAAGTCCTTAAAGATGCAAACTAGGGCTGTTTTGTGTCGTCCTTCTGGGGGACGACAGATCTCGGTGTTAAGAGTTTTCAGACTTCTTCGGATACCAATCGCTTCGAGTAGAGCTTGAGGCGGCCAGTTCACCGGCAACTTCTGCGCCCGCGAGCTCAAGAAGCAGTTCTACGTGACTGTGGTTGATGCAAAGGAGTAACAGTGCTTTGATGTATGTTTGTGCCACCTAATCAATCCGTGCTGACTTGTGCAGTGCATTACCCAAAAAAAAACTGTTTAACATTCACAGGAGTACTTTGAGTACACGCCTGGTGTCCTGCGAGCTTTCGTGCGGCCCGCGCACTTGGACTCTTTGACATTTACTTTGCAGCTTGGCCGGGTGTTCTGTGCGTTACTGTTTCTTTTTTGATTCTTTTGATTGAGTGTGGGAAGCCCTTTGATCCAGGTGTTTGAAACTGAGCCACAGTCAAAATCATAGCGTTAAGGTTTTGTATAAAATTGATAATTTTTGGTGAGATCTTGCAGAGTCTTGCACATTCCTTGGAACACGAAGCCGGAAAACCGAAAACGAAGCCTCTTGGTGGGATGCTTGCATCTGTATCTTTTGGAGTGCATGAAATGTGGTGTCTCAAAACGAAGCCACAACAA